TGATTTTGGTGACAGTTTTTCAATTTTAATTAATGAAATGATTGATCAAACTTTTTAAGATTAAATCGCGAAAATTCCTTAAATGCCTCTAAAGTAGTAAAAGCCAAGGGTTTGCGCATTACTGTTATGTCGGTTTGAAAAATAATCATATTGTTTATGTTACTTAAACTTTATTCTTAAATCTTATCGAGTTATTTAGAAAGTATATACAGTATTACACAATACACATGTATACTTTTAATTGATAGTTTTGTAGAAATGCAAGTATTTCACGGGTGATATGTGTCCCGGATATCGCTGTCAATCGGCATTTGAATAGCTTTAATCCTATCGTTACGACAAAAACTTGTGAAAATCGTTTAGTATCGAGACATTAATTGAAAATTGCAACTCAAGACCTGACATCACAACTAATATTTGTTCATTTATTTTAAGCTTTAATTAATTAGCAATAATCTGCTAAAAACGAGTCATACATTTCTAAACATATGTATTGTTATCAACGAATTGATTAATATTAAGGATCTAATGATGTAATTGTGTTAATGATTAGATCTCCGCGTGGAGGAAAGTCCGCTCTCTCGTCANTTGTTATCAACGAATTGATTAATATTAAGGATCTAATGATGTAATTGTGTTAATGATTAGATCTCCGCGTGGAGGAAAGTCCGCTCTCTCGTCACCTCTCCATTCATACAGACATATAAGAAACAAAAGTATCCATGGGTTCAGTTGGCCGGACATCAAGGTCTGCCACTCATTAATCTGGATTTTAATATTTAGTTATAATGTTGACTGCATTTTAGGGAACTTTCTTTGCGGGCAAACGCAGGGAACTATTCTCAAGAAACTGAACGGAACTGAAGAAACGTGTTTTAAGCTAATCACGAATGATGTCATCAAACCTTTGGTTCCCGAATACTTGAAGACGATTAATATGAATAACGATTGTAAACATTATTTAATATAAAACGTTTGTAATATATTTTAACTTTGTATTTGACTTCAATTATATGATAGCATTTCTTGAACTCGAAGACCTTTTGGCAAAGTTTGAGAATCCATCGATTATGGACGTGAAGATGGGAGTCCGCACTTACTTAGAGGACGAGTTAACTAAAGCCAGAGTTAGGCCTAAACTTCGAAAAGATATGTACGAAAAGATGATAGCAATCGATCCGTTAGAACCCA